ATAAAAAAAAAAATCTAATCAAGTGGGTTAAATGGATCCAAGTAAGTGGATTAATCTGATCTAACTAAGCAACCGAGAAAAAAAGGAAGGGAGGAGGCAGACAAAGGTAAATTACATTACAGGAAAAGGCACAAAAACCTATTATAGTAGAGGGAAAGAAGGGAGGGAGATGAGCATTGTTTGAACCTTACTCTCATCAGATTTGGTTCATAATCAGTTAGGTATAGAAATCTAACTTGCCCTATAGGCAGTAGGAGGGAAAAGGGGAAAGAAAAGGGAGGGGGGATAGAAATGAAGGAAGAAGTAGTAAGGGAAAAAAAGGGAGGGGACTAATAGAAGCTAGGGAGATTTATAGACTGAGGGAGGTGGCGGTCAAAAGCAAAACACTAGTGAGGAAGGAAAGGGAGAAAGGAGAAAGAAAAGCATAAACAGGGGGCAACTAGGATGGAGAAAAAGACACAGATAGTAATCATAACTGTGAATGTGAATGGGATGAACTCTCCCATAAAACAGAAGCAGACAGCAGAATGGACTAAAAACCATAATCCTACAATATGTTGTTTACAGGAAACACATTTGAAACACGCAGGGTAAAGGTAAAAGGCTGGAGTAGAATATATTATGCTTCAGCTGAAGTAAAAAAAGCAGGGGTAGCAATCCTGATCTCAGACAAAGCAAAAGCAAAAATAGATCTTATCAAAAGAGATAAGGAAGGAAACTACATCCTGCTAAAAGGCACCATAGAAAATGAAGTAATATCATTACTAAACATACATGCACCAAATGGTATAGCATCCAAATTCTTAGAGGAGAAGTTCAGGGAATTACAGGAAGAAATAAACAGCAAAATTATACTAGTAGGGGACCTCAACCTCCCCTTCTCTGAACTAGATAAATCTAACCACAAAATAAACAAGAAAGAAGCTAAGGAGGTGAATAGAATATTAGAAAAGTTAGGTATGGTAGAATATTTTCTGCAGAAAATTGAATGGGGATAGAAAGGAATATACTTTTTTCTAGGCGTTACATGGCACATACACAAAAATTGACCATGTATTAGGGCATAAAAACCTCACAATCCAATGCAGAAAGGCAGAAATATTAAATACATCCTTTTCAGATCATGATGCAATAAAAATTATATGTAATAAAGGGCCATGGAAAGATAGACTAAAAAACAATTGGAAACTAAAAACTATAGTCAGTTCATCAGTCAGTAAACATTTATTAAGCGCCTACTATGTACTAGGTACTGGGCTAAGCACTGGGCTTAGAAGGAAGGGTAGAAGACAGTTCCTGCTCTCAAGGAGCTCACAGTCAAATAAGGGATGCAACATGCAAACAATTATGTACAAACAAGTTATATGCAGCATAAAGTGGAAATAATCAACAGAAAGAAGGCACTAGAATTAAAGGGAATCAGGAAAACTTTTTCTAGAAGGTAAACTTTTAGCCAGGAGTTGAAGGAAAATAGGAGTTAGAGATAAAGAAGGAGAACATTTTGGCTTGGGAGACAATCAATGAAAATTTCAATCGGGACAGGAGTGACTTGTTCAAAGAATAGCAAAGAGGACAATGTCAAACTATATCACAGAGGGCTTGGAAGGGGGAGGAGGAGGAAGGATAAGAAGACAGGAATGATGAAGGGGCAGGTTATGAAAGACTTTGAATGCCAAATAGAGAGAGTGACATGGTTAAATGTGAGCTTTAGGAAAATCATTTTGACAGCTGAATAGAGGATGGATTGGATTGAGGAAGAGATTTGTGTCAGGGAGACCAATCAGCAGGCTACTTACTACATTGTCCAGTGGTTCAGCCATGAGGTGATGGGGACTTGTACCAGGGGTGGTGGCAGTGTCAGAGAAGAGAAGTGGTGTAATATGGGAGAGATGTTATGAAGGTAAAATCAATAGGCCTTGGCAATACATTGGATGGGGTGGGGTGGGGGAGGCTGGTGAGAGAGATTGAGGAGTCAAGGATGACACCCATGTTTAAAGCCTGGTTGAGTGAGAGGATTGTGTTACCTCTGAGAGTAAAAGGTAAGTTTGGAAGGAGGAAAGGTTTGAGGGGAAAGATAAGTTCAGTTTTGAACATGTTGAGTTTAAGATAGATCTACAGGACACACAGCTTGAGATATCCAATAAGCAGTTGGACATGAGAGACATGAGGTCAGCAGAGAGATGAGGCCTGGATAAGTAGTTCTGAGAATCATCAGTAGAGAGATGATAACTGAATCCATGGGAAGTGATAGGCTCTCCAAATGAAATAGCATAGATGAAGAGAAGAGATTCCAAGACAAGAGCCCTGTGGGACACACAAGGTTAGTGGGCATGCCCCAGAGCAGTGCTTCTTAAACTTTTTCCACTCTCAACCCCTTTTCGACTGAGAAATTTTCCCAGCACCCCAGGTATATAAAATGGATATATGATCAAACATTTACTAAAAATAAATCATAAAGAAATTTATTTTAAAACAGTTCTTTGGCATACATATAATTTTACCATTTATTAAAGATAATAGTCTCAAATCTGAGCTGAGATGTTTCTGGTAGTGTTTCTTGGCACTGTGTTGTGTGACGGCATTTGTGACAGCTTTCGAAGTGCAAAGTGCTAATGTTGTATTCAGAACCAAGGCTGCAGTGAAATCGAGAGTTGTGACAGAGGTAAGTGCTGCCAAAAATACCTTGAATTCCTTACATGTTTGATTTTGAATTAATTTTTGGTCATTGCGTATTCAGAAACCTTTTACTGATAGATTTTTAGGGACCCCCACATTCAGTTACTTGACCCCATATGGGGTCTCGACCCATAGTTTAAGAATTGATGCCCTAGAGGAAGATCCAGCCAAGGAGACTGAGGAGTAGAATGAGGAAAGGAGGAAAATGTAGCCAGTACAGGGCTAATGGTCTGGGAGAGAACTGAAGAACTGAGGAACTGAGAGATGGGAGAGGATGTGGAGTTAAAATGCAGAGAGATGAAACGACAACAGACTGTGATCAGATAAGGGAATGTCAGAGGTCCTGAACATGAAAGTGGTGCATTTGTGGGTGATGCATGGCAAGACCAAGGGTATGACCATCTTCGTGTGTGGCTGAGGAGGGGTGGAGGAGCATGCCATGTGAAATAAGCTGAAGGGCTATAATGTTAGGATGTTTGAAGGAGCATCAACTATGTATTTTAAAGTCTCCTAGTATGAATGCAAGAGTCTGGGAAGCAAGAAAGACTGTGAGTCATGCACTGAGCTCACTGAAGAAACATGAGGAATGATCCAGGAGTTTGGCAAACAGCTAGTAGGATTTTAATTAGGTGGTAGATATGCATTGAGTGGTGGGGGAGGGGGAGCCATGGGAGATTTGAGGAAGGATGAAAAAGTGAACCTCAAAGGAGAAGAGAGTTTACTTACTAAGTGATGATGGTAGAGGGACAGCCTGGAAGTGACAATGAGCATTCCAACTTCCCATCACCTGGACTGATGAACCAGGAAGAATGAGTGAAAAATGCAACCATCATTGAAAAGCAAGGCCAGGAGGTAGCCAGGTATCAGTGACAGAAACTGGGATTAGCAGGAAAGGACAAAATTTAAGATGAAAGCAAGTTTGTTGCCTGTGGAGCAGGCATTCCAAGTAGCACAGTGGAAGTGGTGGTGTGGCTTCAGAGTGGGGCATTGAGGTAGGAAAGGGTAGCTCGAAGGGAATGAGAAATAAGGCATCAGGCAATGGGGTGCAGGAGAAAGGAGTCTGAGAGCCAGGGAGGAGATATGGAGAGGGGGTGTTAATCATTGAATTTGTTCAGATTTTCCTAAGATTTGGCCTCGACAGTGTGGTGTCCTCTTAAGGACTTAAGCAGTTCAGGTATAAGCGCTAGGAGCTAAAGAAATGATGATACTCTCCTTCCCATAAGGCAGGAGACCATAAGTCATCAGATCTGGAGATTTGATGGAATGGTCTTTCTCTTCTTCCCTGGAAGGGAGAAGGCTGGTGCTTCATGGAAGGGTGTTTTGCCTCTTCCTAAGGGAGGCAGGAGACCTGGTCAGATGGAATGGCATCCTTTCCAAGGTAGGAGACTAGTGTTCAATGGAATAAAGTTCCTTTTCTTCCCAGTGAAACCAGGCAAGGAGACTATGGCATTTTCTCACTTTACCTGTGATGGAATACCATTGATGGAATGACTATACATGGAACATATGAAAAGACATGACAGATCTGCAGGCTGCAACACTGCGTGCTGCATGTTGGAGTAAAGAGAAGGCAAGGACAAGGCACCGAGGTGTTGTGGTCTGAGTGGGAGAAGCGGGTGCAGGAGTTCACAGACAACCTTTAATTTTTTTTTTGTAGAAATCCAAAAAATGATAACTAACACATGATATATGCATCTCTTCTGGGCATTACCAACAAATTTGTGAGGCAGGTATATCCCCATTTTCCAGTTGGGGCAACTAGTGACTTGTCCGCGGTTACGCAGCTTCGGAGCCACCACGTGAACTCGACTCGTCCTAGCCCCAGGTCCAGGACTCTGTGCACTAAGCTGCGCTGCCTCCCGATCCGGAGGACGCAGCCCCTGGCATCCTGCCCCTCCACAGCAGTCCCGGCCGGGGCAGCCGCGAGCTTCTCTAGGACAAGTAGGAGCAGGTCCTCGGAGCACGCCAGGCCAGGAGCCGAAGAGCGCGCCCGCGCGAGGAAGTCCCAGCCCGAGTCCCACTACGAGGTGTTCACGCGCCCACAACCGCCTACCAAGTCTTCAAACCAGGAGAGCGGGAACTACAACCACCTCCATACCCTCCCCCACGCCCTGGGGATTTGAAGACTGGAGACGCCCCCGCCTCCAACCCTAGGTTCTCGACCAGTCAGAGGCCGCGGCGGCTCGGCGGTCGCCATGGTTACTTTTTGTGGGCGGTGAATGGTGCAGGCAGTGGCGGGCACCGTCACTCAGCGGCCGGCTCCGCCCCGGGATCCGCCCTCCCTGGTCGCTCCTCCCCTTTCCTTCCTCGAGGGCCCCGCCTTGCTTTCTCTGCCTGGGCGCTGTGAGTAGTCGGAGCTGGAGCGGGTTTTGGAGCTCAAGCTGTGAGTAAGCTGGGGCCCCCGAGTCGGAGCCCGGAGCCAGAACGGCGGCCGAGGCGGCTTCAGGTGAGCTCGGCCTCTGCGGGGGCAGGACGCTCCGCCCCGGGTTGGGTGTGTGTGCGGGGTCGGGGTTGTGGGGCACCCCGGTGACGGGGGCTGCCGCTACCGGAGGGGGCGGAGGCCGGTCCGGGAAATCAAAATGGCTCCCGCGGCTCGGCTCCCCTCCCCCCGCGGCCTCCTCCTGCCCTCCCCCTCCCCCTCTCTCTTCTGCCGTTTCCCTTCCTTGGCCTCTTAGGCCCCGACCCCGGGGCGGGAAGCCCGGCGCCTCGCCCGGCCTGGCCTTTGTGTGGCCGGGCCCGAGTCGCCGGCGCTGCCTGCACAAATCGCCCGCCCCGGCCGGGTCCCGCCTTTCCCGCCCGCTCCCTCGCGGTTCTCGCCCCTCCAGGCCCCGGGGCTGAGGCCGCCCGGCGGACCGGCTCTTTCCTGGCTAATCCCCCTGTTTCTTTTTCTGTTTTCTTTTCCTACTTGCTCGTAGATTTCTCTCATCTCGTCACCCTTTGCCATCCCTCTCTCTTGCCCCCTCCCATATATATACGTGCGTGTAGCCCACCCACCCAGCCGAGAAGGCCGCTCCTCGTACGGAGGCTCCCGGCAGCGCCTGTTCCCCATGGATCCCCGGGGCCGCCTCCGCGGCAGGACAGACTTCCCGCTGTGCAGGAGGAAACGCACTTTGAGTAATGGAAAGTCACTTCTACCAACCATTGTAACTCCATCCAGAGCTGCTGGTGACATCTTAAATCTCTAGTGCAAAGGTCGAGTTGGTTGATTAGCGTTGCCAGGTTTCTTCCCGAAATGCGATGAATTATTTGTGAAAATACATGATTGAGGGGAGGGCGTTCTAGTTTATAATGGGAGTGGTGTGGTGGTGGTGGTGTGTTGGTGATGGTGATGGTGGTGGAAGGTGGTGGTGGTGGTGGTGGTGGTGAGGGTTTGGTGCCTAAGGTGGTTGGTTTTCTTTCATTTGTTGACCCTTTCCAGGTTCCCCAACCCCTTTTAGACTTATCAGCAATAACAATATCTGACATTTATATGAGGCTTTAAAGTTTGCAAAGAAGTAAAAGTTTTTAAAAGTGTTTTTAAAAAAAAAAGTTATATTGGATGTTGCTAATCTCACATTCTAGGTGCCACAGGCAAAATCCTGGTATATTTCATCAATCTGTCAGTCCTTCAATGAATTTTATTCATTGGCACAAGAGTTTTTACCTATATTTGGTCATTGAAAGGTATTGTATCATTTCTTATGAAGTCAAGATAATACTTTAAAAAAAAAAAACCCAACCCTTTTTTGTTCCTCACAGCAGCTTTCTGTGAGTAAAGGAGGTGCTACCACTGAAGCTGAAGCACTTGGCCTATTCACTCAGATGGGCTGGGGAAAGAGAAATTATCCCAATATGGTTCTTCATATCAAAGCGGGACCAGGAATGGGAAAGCTGCTTCTAGGATAAGATGGTAGTTTATTCAAAACTGTCTAATACTGAGACCCTGCTGAAATTGGCAAGAAGACCCACCAATTCTAAAAATAGCTTATTTGATGTGAAATTGGGGGCTTATATAGACCATATCATACAACTGACGTGGATTTTAAACGTTGTGACTTGTATATGTCATCCTACCAATCCTTCTGTTCTTCAAAAAATGCTGTTATGTAAGTTTTCTTTCCTGAATTCCTTGCAGAGGGAGAAATGGGTAGTAGATGTTTGCAATGGGAAACTTGATTTTCATCTTAGCAGCACTTAGGAAAACCTCACATGGTGAACTGTTGCCTCTTTAATTTAGCTACTCTTTTTAAAAAGTATAACAAGTGATGCATCATAATGTATGGAGAATGGTGATCAACCATGAAACATTTTAATAAAAGGCATGCTTCTTTGTGGCTTGCTTTCAGATGCTGACATGGTGAGTGTTCAGTTTAAGTGTTTTTAAATTTTGCTTTTAAAAAAAGAGTTAATTAATTGAAATTTTATAGAACAGTTCTCCTTCCCCATCCTATAGTAGGAAGCAATTGCACTGTTAGTATTGTGTTAGTATATATCTGGAAGCACAAAGATTCCACCAAGAGTGGTTGAAAAACCTGGTGCTTGTACCTACTACTTCCCTTTCAGTCTTGTTTAAGCTGACCAGTCAAATGGAGACTGACTACAGGGAGGGAAATAGGATGTGGGAAGAGGACAGTTCTCACAAACATTTACTGGTAAGTAAATTTTATCTTTATTGGTCTCCACTTGCCTTGTCCTACTGTAGTAACAAGTAGAAATAGTAGTGAGAGTAGGAAATTTTCCAGAAAATAGCAGAAAGGTAAATTTTCCCAATGCTTTTGTGACTAAAATGAAAGATTTAAAGGAGAAATCAACCTGTTGAAGTGTGTCCCAGAGAAGCATTAGACCAAATAGAGGTTGTCACAAGAAGTATCACAACCAGTAGACTGTTAGCTTTTTTTTTCTACTGGGAAAGTTAAAGAGTAGTGGGAATAAATTACCATACTTTAAAAACTATTTTTAAACATAGGATAAAGGACACTCCTAGATAAGGAAACTTCCGACACCAATATAGTCAGTAGCTTCTTTGCGATTTTAAAGTCTCAGAAAGTTCTGTAGGTCACTGAGAGGTTAAGTGATTTCCTCAGAATCATACAGCCAGTATGTATCAAACAGAGGTGGGACCTAGGGTCTTCTAGCTTTAAGGCTAGTAGTTCCCCTATCTATTATGCCACGTTGCCTCTCAGAGGTTAAAAAAATTTGTTTTTAAATATCTGTATTTTTTATGTTATATAATTTGTTTTGCTGATAGTTACTATCAATATTACTTTTGAGATTTAGCCCTGAAATCAATAGCTGTCAAGGCATTTATTTTCATGATCCTGTCTTTAAGGAAAAACTAGAAGCCTCTTGTCTCACATGTTGGGGGGAGGGGTTAATTCAGCTGCTGTGTTTTTTCTTATTTTTCGGGGGAGAGTGCTAAGTTTTGTCATCTTCCAAATAATGTTTTGTTTGCCTCAACTTTCAGTGGGTTCTGTCTCAGTCCTTATCCTATTAAATGGGTAAAAGGATTTTAATTTTCACTCTTGGTAAGTAACCAAAGTGACTGGATCTTTGAAGACTCCATTATGATTTACCTGCAAAATTCAAGTTCAGAAATCAGATACTGGTGTTTTAGCAATCAACCATCATTAGTACAGATAATCAAAAAGCTTAGTAGCTTTTGATTTGGGGGTATTTTAAGTCATATTTTATTTAGATAAAAGCCTTAATTCCTGAGATCATTTGATAGACAACCTATAACTGGAGCAACATCCCATACGTTGCTAACTCACCTTTTATGGCTAGTGGTTCTTGCTTGGATTCTACCTCTGGAGTAAATTTTTGAGAAGAAAATACCACTTAATAGTAGTGATGTGAGATAATTTGTAAAGTGGTCTGCATAGTGTCTGGCCCATAGTAAGCACTACATAAGCATTAGCTATTATAACAAGTAAGACATAACCCCTTTGTAGAGTTTGGTTAGAATGTGATACAGAATACTATGAATTCAGAGCAAGGAATGCAAGACATTTTTCACTTTACCTCTTTTGTACATCCTCATGTTATTCCTCATGCTGCTTTCCTTTCTCTCTCCTCCCCACCTTTAGCACCCTACCCAGGCCTGCCCTAGCTTTCCCAAGTAATCCTTGCTCCAAAGATACAGCCTTCAACCCCCAACAACAATTCTTATTTTTCTAGGTTGCCAGTTACCTCAGGTAAGTCTTAGGAGGAAAGAAGTCTGAATTAATTCATATTAAAGTGTGAATGAAAAATCTTCAACCACCCCATCAGTACCAGATTTTCATTTATTAAAGACTGCTCCAACTGATAGAATTTCAGACAATGACAAAGTGAAAAGAAAAATTCAGGTAGTATATGAGGAATTAATTACTAGACTTTAAAGGGTATATACATTGTATCGGGCTTCCAGGCACCTTGCAGACAATCTGCTCTTGTGCTTAATTTCTCTAGAATGTATCTACATTTTATGTAACCTTTGGATACATACATAGATGTTGAGTGTATACTGTATAGTACATATACTACTTTGGGTTCATAATAATACATTGGTTTTTGGAACCATCTGTTAGTCTTTTTTTAAGTTTTTAGAAGATTTTTAAAATATAGTTACACATTTCATTTTTAGTACACAAATACTGTTACAACATATTTTGTAAATGAAGCAGGATTTAAGAGTACATAGAAGCAAAAATCTGTTGTTTCCACATTTTAAATTAAAGCAGTTACTGTCTTTTCTTGATTAATATTTAAAAGAATTTGGTATGTGGAGGATTGCATTTGTACAAGTAAAACCAAGACAAAGCTAAATTGAGTTTCTAGCAAGGCTCCCTTTCCGCTCTGGGATTCAGCTTCGATCATCTAAATTATTATTAGCTGTAAACTCCTTTTTGTCTTTGGGTTATCTGGGTAGTAGCACTGTCTACAAGCGATCAGCTTGCTATAGAATACTGGCTATAATATGTACTTCTGATCAGAAATTTTCTTACTAAAGATCTTTGGGTTTTAACAGTTTAGCTTTCAGAAATTCACATGCCCCCCCTTTAGTGTGCTTAAGGGTGATAAAAAAAAAAATACCTATGGACTTTTGCTTATTCTAAAGCAGAGGTGTCAAACTTGCTGCCTTCAAAACTCCAGAGTCCAAGTGAGGCCTGAGCCAGATTAAAATGTAATTGAGAAATGTTTTAAGAAAATAAAAATGCAATTCAACATAGATAATGTTTGTGGTTTTCTAAGTCAGTATGCCCCTTGCAGGGATCATTTTTATTTGAGTTTGATACCAGCGTTTCTGAAGTAATTCACTAGTCAACTATTAGTTTTTAAATTGGCTTGTCATATTCTGAGCTTTGGTGTTGCAAAATGTTTCTGATAACTATTATTTGTGAATTGTGGCTTTTTTAAATATCTCATTCACATTTTTAATATTTTTTTGTTAAAGTAGGTGGAGGAGCCAGTTACTTAAATATGCCTAGCAATCTGGAATGAAGGGGAAAATGCTTATTTCTAAATCAGTAGGGAAATGTTGGATTTGGAGCCAGAGGACTTGGGTTTGACTGATAGTCTCTGTTACTACCTGTATGACCCCCTAGGTCACACTTAGCAAGTTACTTAATTATAGTCTGCCATAGTTTCTTTTAAAAATGAGGGAGTTAGACTCGATGATCTCTAACATCCCTGTCAGGTCTAAATCTATGATCCTGTAAAGTAGAACCTTTGTTTAGAAAGCAATGATGGCTGCATAATGGAGTTTTTTTCTATTTTAAATGTAGTAATTCCAAAAGTTAAGAAAGGCAGTGTAACTTAGTAGATAGTTTGCCTTGTCCTTGGAGTTGAGTCCTGTCTTTGACACGTGCAGGCCGTGTGATCCTGTGCAATTCGCTTAACCTTTCAGGGCCCCACCAACTCTCTAGGACTCAGGCAGGAACAGGTACTGATCTTCAGTCTGCATGGGTAGTACTTAACACGGAGCTCTCTCCTGACACTGATAAAATTGTAGGTCTGGTCAAAGAGGAAAAATGAAAAAGTGATTAACCAGAAAATTCAGAACTTGTCAGCAGTATGAAGAAGGCTATTTATTCATATTCTAGGTATTACTCTAACGTAATGACAGTTTTAAGGGAAAAAAAACCAGGCATAACAGCGTTTATACATGTCTATTACATACACGCATGCACATAGACACAAAAAATAGTTCTCTTCAGAAACTATTTTTGGAGGCTGTGTACTTGATAACTTAAAGAATGTTGTCTTTGCTTAAAATATTTTGATATTGGCTTCAGGGCCTGTGGCACATTCCTCTCATTGGTGGCAAATCCTTGTTCTTTGAAGGTGGTTTTAGTTTTTGGGAGTAGCCAAATTGGCTAGTGTTAGGGAATAAGGTGAGTGATTGAATAACACTACTGTTTTTATTTTTGGTTAGCAACATCCATAGTATACTGGAAAGTGCTGGAGTAAGAATATTTAAGTTCAGATTTTGATTATTAGCAATGTGACCATGGGAATCTCTGAGCATCTGTTTCCTTGTTTGCAAAATGATAATGATACCTGTACATACTAATCACAGGTTGTTTGTAAAAAGTACTTTATAAAATCTAAAGCACTACATAAAATGAGTTGTCTATTAATCATAGTAATTATAGCTAATATTTATGTGATGCTTACTCTGTGCCAGATACTGTGCCTGTGCTAAGTGCTTTACAATTAACTCAGATGGTCCTCAACAACCCTGGGAGGTAGGTGCTGTTATTATCCTCATTTTACAGATGAGGAAACTGAGGCAAAGAAAGGTTAAGTGATTTTCCCAGGGTTATACAGTATCTTGAGGCTGGATTTGAACACAAGTCTTCCTGACTCCAAGCCCAGTGTTCTAGCTCCCTAGTTGCTACTCCTTATGATAAAAGTAAGGAGATTGAATTTTCTTAGACAGCTTTTAAACTGGCTTTGCTAGTAATTCCAAAAGAGAATTTGGTATTTAAACTCAAGCTTCACCTGCCTAATAGCTGACGTGTAATGTTTTAAGGTTTTCAAGATTCTTTACACATTTTATCTTGTTTGAGCCTCACAAAAACCGTTGAGTGCTGGATTAGGTATTGAATGAGATAAAAAATTGAGATAAGACAATTCCTGTCTTTTAGGAGCTTAAAATCTAGGATGCTTTGGGGTTGTTTTGTTTATATGTGTGTGTGTGTGTGTGTGTGTGTGTGTTTGTGTATATGTATGGGTTTTTTTGAGGCAATTGGGGTAAAGTGACTTGCCCAGGGTCATACAGCTAGTAAGTGTCTGAGGTCAAATTCAAACCCAGGTCCTCCTGACTCCAGGGCCAGTGGTCTATCCACTGTGCCACCTAGCTGCCCATACACTTGGTGAGACAAAGACAACAGCTTATTTTTCCCAGAATTGACACTGGCTATAGGCAATAAATATCCATGCTTTTTTTAATTTTTGAAAACTTACCTTAGTATATACATAGTAGTAAGGTAAAGGTAATTGTCCTTACAGTTACAATAAATACTTTTTGTTGACCTACTTATTTTTAAAAAGATAATTTTTACATAAAAGAAAATAAGTAATGTCCTTCCACTACTAGATTTCACTTTTTAAAATTAGAAATTGCCCTGTGTAACAAATAGGTTGATAATCATATCTGAAAACATAGTAACAGTAGGTCTTCAGTGTAGCAAGCAGTTTATATGTAGATATACATATTTAGTGTATCTTCTGAACATTTTTCTAGCTAAATTTTATGACTGCTCATGATGTTTGTCATTTCAGAATTATTTCTTACTCAATTGATTGGGTGACCTGATTTGCAACCAAAATAATGCAAAGTGGGTAGATGCTTAAGTGGAGAAGACAGAAATTTCTGCTAAGTCATGATTCAGGGCTTATTCTAGTAATTCATAACCTCGTCAGAATTTAATTTATTTGATTTCATTATGGATTGGGGAAGAATTTGATTTAAATTTATTTGTCCTAATTTAAATCATTTAATTGGGAAGACTAATCATTTTTGTTAACAAAAAGTGCCTTTGATAAATTGTGGTTGAAGCTTTGATAATTGTCATAATCTTTAAATCTTACTCCTTAAGAGAATTTAGCAATTGTACAATTTAAATATATCAGTAGATCTATGATATTATTTTGGTAACTCTATTGGGACAGCTGGCAACCCTACCATGCCTTCTAATTCATAATTTCTAATCCGTTATCTCCCATAAATCCTACAAAGAGGTTTGCTGTTAGTCTTCCTTTCGATCTTTTTCACATTTTGTAGCTATAGTGTCCTATCTTTTATCACTCATTCTCACTGTATGATTAACCATTCCCTTTCTTTTGATCATATAGTTCATATAGCTTTTAAAGCATTGGATTATTTATCTTTTAAAAAAAATTTTTTTACTACCTTAAAAAACAATTATTTGCCAGTGCTCGATGAAATAATTTTAAAGTAACGGGGAGAGAACGGGATGAAGCCTTTCCGGATTAATAATTTCATTTCAATTCATAAATGTTTTAAAATTGCTTATAGCGTATAGCCACTGGGGATGTAAAGACAATGAGCGTGGGAAATATATCATGTTCTCAGATAAATGAAGGTAATTTGAAATGGGAAATTGTGCATATTTTTGCCACCGTAAATTAGGGAGATAAAAGAATACAATAATGCCAAGAAACATTCTGTTTAAAAGAAAAAGTAGATAAGCTTTCTTGTATTACAAGCATGTATGATTGACTTAAAAAAATTTTTTTAAGTATTTTTAAATTCAGCATATGACTTAAAAGCAGTATGCATGTAGTGTTCTTTTTTTATTCATAGACTAGGAACAATTAGCATAGCACTTTTATTTTTAAATTCCTAAATTGATTCCTCAGTTTAGAATTCAGTGAGAGAAAATGTATTTTTCTATTCATGCAGGAGAAAAGTTGTTCTTCATAGCTGGATTGGTAAGTCTTGAGTTCTTAAAGCAACATCCACCAACTTTTAAAAATTTCATTGTACCTTTTTCTTGAATAATGAGGTAATTTGTGTAATGTGATTGGTTTTGTGAAAAAAATATATTGTAATTAGTACTAAAGAGGGGTGATTAAAAATGTATTCTTTAAGTTTGTTTACAAATATATCATCTTTTATATTCTCAGTTCTATATCTGATTTTTAATATAAATTAAAGTGAGTTTAAGGTATTTTTAATATAATCCATTCTGATAATTTTTTTCTCTCTGAAAAGTGTTTATATAGAAAATAAATACTTGATTCATATTCACATGTGTAATTATTTGTGTTGTTGGTAATATATTTTGGTGAGTTTTATGACATCTCTGAGGTTATTAGTTGAGGTTTTATTTCATGAGATGTCATTGTGTTAGTGAACATGGGTTTGGAGAATATGGACTTTTAAAAGTCATGTCAGTGGCTATTATTTTGTTGTTTGATGACCTGGTTTCAAATATCAAATAGATGAATTGAGGCTGTACCTGTAGAGATGGAGCTTTGAAGGAAAATTTTTTTAGTATGATTTTAACACACTAATTGTAAAGAAAAAAATTGAGTATATTTTTATAACATGCTTAATATCTTAAGGTTGGTATGCACAGTTAACTTGTTTATATAGGATATTTCTTCATGGATTAATTGCACAGTAGCAAGCAAAACTAATAAGGTAAGGAGAGGAGATCAAACATTTTGGAGGGCTTATTTGTACTTCTCTTTAGAGTAGTTAGAAGAGCTGTGAAAAGCACTTGTGAAATTTTTTTCTGGAGCTTAGTTTTAATGTTTTATCTGTTTTTCTGTCCTTCCTGTAGTACTTACTCTTATTCCTTCAAACATTTATTGAATGCTTACTATGTGCAAAGTGCTGTGGAGAATACATAGATGAATCAGGCAAATTTCTGAACCTCACATGAAGAACTGGCCATAACTTTTTCAAAATGCAAATGACAGACACCTTTTTAAATGCCTAGTTAATTTTGTTCTCTTCCTACCAAGGTAGGTGTTGCATTGCCCCTTAAAGAATGTGTGTAATTATAGTTGCCATAGAGAAAAGGAAGGGGCTTTTAATAGCAAGAATCAGATATAACTGCAATTTAAGCAGCTTGTACTGCTATTAAGCAGGTGGTACTCCTGTTGGGCATATAGTAATGGTGTTTCTAGGTAGAGTTGATAGTATTGAAATGGGTAAGGATACTTAAGGATGGAGAACCTTTAAAATGATTACCCAGTTTTCAAATTTGAAGAAGTAGCATTTTACAGAGGAAAATGGTATAGTGAAAACATTAGCATTTAAGTCTGAGGACTTGGGTTCAAGATCTGGTCTGTTATGACCTCTTGGTGACTTCAGGCAAGACACTTAGTATTTCTGTCTCTTTAAGATGAAGGGTTTGGATGAAATAATTTCTGAGGCCTTTTCTATCTCTAAATCCTATTCTCTAATCTTTGAAGTAGCATTATGATTAGATTGGAAAGGGAAAGGGGATGATGACAAGAATGTGGGAGGCAGTTAAACACAGTAGAAAGGTATTCTACACTAAAAATTTATTATAATTCATGTGAGAGATGGTTTTAACTTAATGGTTAGGAGCAGAATGTGTGAAGAAAGAAGAATGAAGTAACTCAGATTCCAAGAGTTGATACCAAAGTTTATTTGGAAGATGATCAGGAATCTGAATTCTTAATAGTTTGCAGTTTAATTATTTGCAAGGATAAAAGTAGAATTTGAGAATTAATGATGAATCACAATATACTCAGCATTTAGTAAGAAATCTGCAGTCTCTGGTGGTCAGCAAACAGAATATTATAACTTCCTAGCAGTGTATGGTAAATAAACTAAAAGATATTTCTAAATATAGATGTTGCCTCAGAAATCAAATCTGTGGGTGTCTAGTAGAAGCTCATCTCTAAGAACATAAATAGGAAGTCCATTGTTAGAATTCTCTTCATTACAGATAGCTTCTGGTTTTTTGATTAAACATAATATAAGCTTTGGTCTTTAAGCCATTACTTGGCCTCATTTTTAAAAACCTTGGTTTGTTAAAGAATATATTATGACTGGTGTTTTCATAAGTATTTGTAATACGATTTTCATGTTTTAAAATTCAACACTGTAGTCATTGTAATAGCACTATATGAAAATAAAATGGTATTTCCTTAATCTTACAGTATGGATGAGAGTGGCAGCTTGGTGTAAGTGAATATTGTCAGAGTTGGAGTCAGGAAGATCTGGGTTCAAATTCTGCTTCTGAAAATCACCTCTGTGACCATGAGAAAGTGACTTAACTTGAGCCTTGAGCAACTCTGTAAATTTTAGATATAGGTGGGTTGTGATCTATGGCAGAAGAAGTTAAAAGGCATTAATGTATTTAAACTAGTTTTTTAAAAATCATTTTTAAATGGTTTAGACTTACTTACAAACAGGCATGGGTAGCATTTTTTTTTAATCTCCTTGTTAAATAACTGGATAAATTGACATAATAAGGATGCAGATGTTAACTGGGAAGGCAGAGAGAGGCCTGATGCCACTTCATTAAATACTTTGCACAGTATGCCTTTTGTTAGAGATGGCTATGTAGTTTAAAACTAATCAGTTTTTTGTTGTATAAGTTTCTATATTTTTGTTTTTAGTTACTTAGATTTAGTGTATATTTCTAAGCAGCAATTTTATAATCTTAACTAATGATGCAAATGTAACAGACCATCCAAAAGTGAATTTTATTCCAGTAATAATTCCAAAATATGTAGCTCTCTTCAGAGCAAATCTAAAAAAGCATTATACAGCTATGATTCTGTATAAGCACTGTAAAAAAAAAAATCAACTGTGATTTATTTGCCCCATCATGCAAATGTAGACATTAAGGAGAAAATGGAAGTTTCAAAAAATAATTTGGGAAACACCTGTTAAGTAGAATGGTAGATCCTTAATTTGGTTATCTGCATTTTTATCCAAACCTTTACGTGATTTTTTGGAGACTTAAGGCCCTGTTTACCTGTACCTAGTCTCCAAATATATCTTCTGTTATAGGCATAAATACCTCGTTTGATTTTTCTCTTTCTGTATGAGACATACCTAGTTCACCTGTTTAAAAATGAAGAATATTGATCTTTAATGTGAATTTGGTCCCACTTTTTAATAACCCACTATAAGTATTAAATTAGCTAAAGTTAAACCTACTTAGCTGTATCCTAAGAGGAATAGTTTTAGTGTTGTGATTAGTCTGTCACTGTAGAGATCTAACCATTGGTTAAATGCTATGTTTCCTTCTCTGATAGTTTTTGGTTTTGTTTCTGAAAACTGGACATTTTAAATTATGCTAAAATAAGTTATTTGGTTTCAACAGGACACAATGTTTGCAAGAGGAATAAAGAGAAAATGTTTTGATGGTGAAGAAGATATTGAAGGAACCCTGGCTGGTTTTAAGTCTGTTCCCTCATATAATCTTCAGCGGCAATCACTTTTAGACATGTCTTTGGTAAAGCTTCAGTTGTGCCACATGCTTGTTGAACCTAATCTGTGTCGATCGGTTCTTATAGCAAATACTGTAAGACAAATTCAAGAAGAAATGACCCAGGATGGAACTTGGCAAGTGATAAATGCTCAGAATGCAGGACAGGCTTCTCTTGATCGCCTAGTATCATCAGATATCCTTTGTCGTTCAACAAAAGAACAGGGTGAAGGGAAACTTATTCCAAGTTATAGTAGTTTCTCAAAAGACTTTGAAGATATCCAGTCCCAAGATATTATTTCTGACCTGTCCACGGTTGCATCAGTACAAGCTCCAAGAAATCCTCAAAGTAATGTTTGGGAAATGGAGAACCCTCAAGAAAATAGGGCAAACTTTCAGAAGTCACTAGATCAAATATTTGAAACATTGGAGAACAAAAATCCTAATTCTGTAGAAGACTTGTTTTCAGATGTTGACAATTCTTACTATGATCTTGATACAGTATTAACAGGAATGATGAGCAACACAAAAATGGGACATTGTGATGTGCTTGAGAGCTTTTCATCTCAAACATCCACAAATTCTAACTCAAATTGTAAATCTGATATAAATGAGCTTGACCATATTGTGGAAATCCTTGTTGAATCTTGAAATGGTTAAATACAAAGCATGATTCTTTGAAGAAGTCGAGAACGTTTGAAAAAACATGCCTTCAAATAGTTTACTATCAAATGAATATGTAATCTACATAAAAGCTAAAAAGCACTTCATTTTGTGAAATAGTGTTATCTTTAAAGCTAACATGCTACTTGCCTTTTGACAATTTTGGTTTGTTCACTGAAATTTAAATATATACTCTAATAAATAGTTGCAGGGTATGAAGCTTAGTGTACTTAAACTTTTACTTCCTCAAGGCAGAGGGGAGACTGGTACAATGGGTTCTTGACTTCTCATTTAACATTTTTTTCAGGGCCTATACATAAACTCCCAGTTGCCCTGATTCCTTTACCTTCCCTCTTTCTTTTTCAGCTACAGTCACCATCCTTCAACTTTATTAGTCTAGATAGATTTTTTTTATTAGTTTTGTATGTTTTGGGCAATATTTTGCCTCTTAAAAATATATTTTGAAATTTTTTATATTTTCATCAGTGTTTAGATTTTCCAGCTATTTTCCTAAAAGTATATTTTTACTATAAATGTCCTTTCTGCTGCTACTTCAGTAAATTTTTCATAGCATAAACACTTGGAATTGGTGTTTTTCTGTTAAAATTTTAAAAGGATTTTCATTTTTCAGAATGAACTATATTATATAGTTCAGTAAACTGTAAATATACAACATGCTTTAAAATGTAAGAGCTGTTTTCATAATCATGTAGTTCTTTATCAAAGTTGAAAAACTTGTATTGCTTTTTATACTTGAGCATTGTTAGAAGGAAAAAAATACTGATCCGTAGATACAGTTCTATTAAAGCCATGTTTCATGTTAATTCTGAATATAAATTATGTAGGGTTTTATTTATGTATATTTATATGTAAATGTCATCACAGTGAATTGTCTATCATTGAAGTCTAGGGTCAAATTTATGTGGGAAAACTCTTGCACTAATTACTAAGTAAAGTGTTATTGGGGCCTTTGAATCTCTATCATTGTGTTCTTTTGTTTATCTCAATTAGTATGTTTTACTCCAGTGTAAGTTTTCTGTATGGCTATTCTTCCTTTGAAAGATGTTGCTTAGGTCTTTCATCTACTTTAAATAAGAAATACATTCGTTGTAGAATGTATTTAATAAATATGTCAAGGGATCCATTTAGGAAAGGGTAGCTTAATATTAGAATGAGAAGTCCAATTTTACTGTATTAAGCTGTGCCTGGAATTCTTCTTTTAAATCAGACAGTAGTCTGCTTGAAATAGATTTGTATACATTTGGCTCTGGCACCTCATCAGATTTTGAAAAAGATAAAAGTATGGAGCTTGCAGTAGCAGAAGTAAAATTGGAAAGATTTGGGAAATGGAATCTAGACTGCTTAAGTGCAATGAGGAACAAAAAAGTTGAGAATCAGGGAAGGACTTTTTTTCCCAAAGACATATTCCTCTCTTCAAGGGAAAAAAAAAGCTTCCACATTTCTTGTCTTAAACTTTTTCTGTTCCCATATAGATTGGTATAAATGTCACTTCTAATACTTTCTCAGATTTCTTGTGCATTTGACTAATAAGTATTTTAATATGAATATTCAAAGAATTGTAAAAGTTTGTGGGATTTTTTTTAAAAGAAAAATGTAATTAAACATAATTGGCAAAATTCTAAAATGTGGATTAAGATTTACACCAGAAATTAGTGTAATTGTGTGCATTGGAGTCTTACTTCATGACTTTTAAATAATTTTTTTAAAATAAAATGTTTGACTAAAAATTTAGAATGATTGAGCTGAAAATCCTAAGTTCCATTTCCTGGGGCTATACAATAGAAAATAGAAGCACCAGCATATGTGAATCAAGAGCATGTCCAGAAGACCTGAAATTCAAGTTCTGCTTCTTGACTTGTACTAGTTGTTTGTGACCCTCTGCAAATCACTTAAACCTCTTAGTGTTCCCGGGCAGTTTTCTAATTCTCTTAATTGCAGATGGATCTGAATTTTCTCCCACAGCGTTCCTATACCAAGGAAATGACAGTCTTTAAACCATCTCCCACTCTCATCCCCAGTCCTCTACCCCTCAGCATACACAAAAGGGCAGGGAAAAGGGAACAAGCATTTATTAAGGGATTACTATGTGCTTTACCTAAATATTTCTTTAGGTTGTTACAACAACCCTATGAGGTAAGTACTGTTATGATTCTCATTTTATAGTTAAGGAAACTGAGGCAGATAGGTTAGAAGAGTTGTTCAAAAAGCTCTCTCAACTGGACCATATTTGAGACTGGCATCTGTATACTTAAGGAAAAGGGTAGTTCTTGCTATCTCTGGGAAAAAGGAATAATCTACATTTACAAATGATTTTTGATTTCCAATGCTAAGAATTTTGGCATTTCAGAAAAATAAAAATAACTTTTAAAACATAAGATTTAATTCCAGTCTTATTGGTAGAAGTTCATATTGCGTACATTTTAAGTAAAATTATCTAATTTCTAAGTTATTTGGAATGTCATATGTTATTCTTGGAAGCATTCAACAAAAGTCATTCACTGATTTTCAAATAATAATGACTTTTTAACCATTTAGGTTACACAGTAATGAACAAGTTCTAGTACAGGTTATTTATTAATTTTTACTATCTTAAAGATAAGAATCAAGATGGATTGCTTTAGTTAATTAAAACAGCTTCTTTGTGAAGCTGACTTAGATGTGGACATAGTTTGTTGAAATTTAACCAGTGCTTTATGTTGCTCCCAACTGTTCTTTCTTGCTTTGAACATCTTCAGATCTAAATTTAAGACACTGATAGATTGTGGTAAATTTGCTCTTCAATTAAACAGAGACTTATCTCTAAATTTAAAGGATAGGAATCTTCACATTGGATCAATCTAGATCCATATTTTAATTTCTTTTTCCAGTGCTCTGTTTTATCAGAACATTCTACTACCATGTTTTAGATTCTGGGCCCCTAACATTTTACCAAAAACAAAATTACCCAGTTAGCCCTATTGTAGTCCTCATTCACAAAGGCAGCTAATTTTTGGACTTAGAAGCAGTACACACCTGCGTAAGGTGATAGCTGATCATCTGTTCATCCATTCATTAAGGAAATAGGACTGTTTTACTTAGGGCAAGTGAACTGGACTCTTGATTTTATGCTATTTTCAATCACTTTAACCTGATTTTACCTATATAAAAGTTCTGATTTAAAGGGAGAGGGTGGGGATAGCCCTCGAGATGTTCTTGAACTTCAATATGAATTCAAAGTTATATTTGGAAGGACCAAATACTACTACTGTTTTAAGTACTCTAGTTCAAGATGTTATACAGTATGCCAAGAACACTACCAAGTCTAATGATGTAAAAGGTTTCTAGCTAAGCAGCTAAAAATGAGCTGTTATTTTGAAACTTGTTTGCATAAATGTGGTTGCAGATTCTGTATTTGGGCTTTATCTAACCACAGTTTAAATTATATAAATGTGAACTATGATATTTATGATTATGCTTGTTTAGATTATTTGAGTTATTTACAGTGAAACTGCCTATTTTTCTTTGCTTTTGAAATTCTGTAAAAGAGTCTGGAAATGCCTTTAACTTAAAAAAAAAACAAACCTTTATGTGCCTTCCAAAAATGTACTGCTTCTCCTAAAGGCCTCTTTTCAGAATCCTTAATATAGAATTTAAGAGGGGAAATGGACCCATACCTTAAGTTCTCTTTTAAAGTTAGCATATTTTTATTGGGAAAATGAGCAGGAACATTGTCATTATTGATCTTAGAACAGTTAAAGCACTGAGAAAGTAATGGCTAGTCAAGAGAAATTGTAAGTGACTGTCATCTTTTTGGGAAGGGTAAGTGGATTCTAGTTCCAGCTTTGCCAACTTTGTGATGAACAAATCACTTCCCAGTTCTCATACTCAGTTTTCTCATTGGCAAAGTTAGAAGATCTCGTTTTTTTCTGGCTCAAAATTTAGATTCCTAAAGTAAAATGTTCTTTGAGAAGATGTATACTGTATATATCTTTACCATTGCAAGCATGTACCTTCCTTTACCTAGCACAAATTGTTGCAGTTTCATCTTTGGGTCAGGTTAATTATCACTTAATAAAACACAACGGATTCCTTCCCTCGGGCTGAGTTACATTTCTGGGGGAAAAAAAAGTGTGTTTGTATACACACACACAATTATACTCTGAAGGCCATGTGCCCTAGGATGGTGCACTTTGGAGTTGATAGTTTAAATCCCGGGTTCTCCCAATTGACCTGGGACATCTCCTAACCTCCCTTGGCCTCGGTTTCTTTATCCGTAAAGTGAGGGGTTGTATTACCTTTCCAACTCTGATGCTACCAGTCACTCAATGCAGCCAATGCGGAAACAGTTTTGTGAGGGCATGTACCTCATAACAAGATTTCTTGTAGTCATCAGCAATTTAAGGGAGTTAAGAGAATAAGAACAGTTTTGTGACTAAATCAAGTTCTATTTTTGAAATTTGTGGCATTTTTCCCTTTACTGCCCCAGGCCTTAAAACTGGCGTTTTGATTGGTAAGTTCAATAGTGGAAAAATGCTGATAAGATTTTTGTAACATGAATTATGCAGAAAAATGTAGTATGGTACTGTGCAATTTGGTCTTTAAGACGATTACAGTACTTCTCGTAGGTTAATATCACATTTGTAAAATAGTTTTAATTCATAGTAGAAACTGCACTGTACCCAAAAGTGTTACGCTAACTACCTAGTTTACAGAGGGCCCAAAAGAATATGTTCCAGAACAGCCAAATTTTTTCAGCAAGAATGTGCATAAGGTTGGGCAAAGGACCCTTTTAGCACCTGTCTTAATATGCACAGCTTTCCAACCTCAAGCAAAGCCACCTACTGAACTACTTTTTGTCTGTGGCTTTCTGGACAAAATTTTTTCCTCCTGAGGAACTGAGCTCAGGGCTACGTTTTTCAAGCCTCCTTGAGGTAGCAGTTTAGGAAACTAGTTTGTTGGGAAGTTTTCTTCCAATTTATCTACCCTAAATTTGTCTCTTATGTTGTTAAATTGTATGTCGTGTCCGACTCTTCGTGATCCCATTTGGGGTTTTCTTGGCCAAGATACTAGAATGGGTTGCTAGGACCTGAGGCCGAATTTGGACTCGTGGAAGATGAGGGTTTCCTGATTCCAAGCCCTGTGCTCTGCCCACTGCGCCACCTCGCTGGCCCACGTTTGTGTTCCCACCCATCGCTCCTGGTTCTGTGTTCTGGGACAGGCGGTACAGGTCTCATCTTCAAATACTTCTACAGCTATCACTTTCTTTAAACCTCCATGCCAACTTTCTGCGACTGACCCCCTTGAATGACATTTCCTGGTTCCTCACCCGCCTGCTACCCAGACGTAGGGTCCCGGGCCCCAGCTGCAGGTTACCGACGACAGAAAGCTAGCTAGTGTAGCCAGAGACCTCTTCCCGGGAGTCCGCGGGGAGCCCTCCTACGCTTTGCTCGATGGGCGCCACGGCGAATAACCCGCGCGGGAGAGTTTAATCTTTTAGCTAATTAGAAAACGGTTGCTGGGCAGGCTCTGGGACTGTCCCAGCAAATCAAAAGCAGCGCACCTGACAAGAGGCGCGATTTTTCTGAGCTAATGAAACGAGGCCGTAGCGGCCGGGAAGCCGGGGGTGGGGCCTGCTCTGAGGAGCGTGTGGGCGCGCGGAGTCTGGGAGTCTCCCGAGCTGCAGTCGTACACCCTGGTATTCTGGAAGCGCTTATCAGCGATACAGCCCCTGGACATACCCTGGGCTGAGGCGGTGCTGCAAAGTCTGCATTAGCCCGCCCACCATGCGGCCATGGGGCATGGGGGCGGATGTGGCATCTACGTGGCCCTGCCCCGCCTCGTCCTCTCCCAGGAGAAACTTTCCGGGGAGCTCAAGGTGGGGGAAGTTGTGAGGAGGGATCTGAGGTGAAGGAGTAGACGAAGAGCGAGGTTGGCCGCGGTGACCTAGGTCCGGGGAAGGAGGGGGCGGGAAGCGG